ATTGGTTGATGTCACACGCTCTACCAATAGGAGAGCGCAAAACGCCATTAATCCAACCCAGGTTGGTGCAAACCCGGTCGGGCCGAAAACGCTATTAGTTTATACTAATAAAAAACCTCCGTTTAAGGCTTTGATTTCTATAATTTGTGTTATTACATATACGGTCCTATAATATATTATACTAAAAAAATTTAAGTTGAAAATTTAGTATAAGTATTAAAAATTTTTCTTTATCTCATAGAAAAATATTTATATGTACACCTGTTGAATATGAAATATATCAATACTAAAATAATAATTTGAATATATATAAAACTTTTTTAATTTGCGAAAAATAGTTTATAATTATAATAAAATATTTATTGAATTGTTTGCATAAATCGAATTATGAACTTAATAATGACAAAAAAATTTATGTAGTTTTATAATTTGTAACTAATTTATTACTTTATAAAGTAATTCGATATGAATTTATTTTTAGGAAAACTCACCTTGTGTGTGTTAATTATATTATACGTATTAAACATGTGTAATAATATTTATTTAATATTACAATATTTTTTCTCATTAAGATGTGTAACAAAACTATGAAAAAAAATTAATTGCTAATTTACTTACACATAAATAAATATTACTAAATTCATTTATTGAACTAACGTGTAGTTTAATAACTTAACATGTATTGTATCATGACCTCAGTATTAGTATAAAATTAGATCGCATATTATTAATATAAATGTCAAAATTGATTATTAAATATTTTCAAAAAATATAACGTATTAAAGCCAAATAATATCTCTGAACGCGTACACAAATCTGAATGTACAGAAAATTATGTAAATAAAAAAGTTAAACATAAAATAAATACACAATTGCGTTTTAAACAGAATGAAAATAAAATATAGGAACAAATATTCATAAAATAAAAGATTACTAAATTAGGCGTGGTTCTATCATCTGTGAATAATTAAGTGTAAGTATTTCTCCATCAGATTGACTTTTAGATTCTTCTTCTAAGAGAGAGAACTTCCCGAATGGCACTTCCTGAATTTCCTCTTTACCATCTGTAAATAAGAAATTTCTTTTCAAATATATAGTTAAAAATATACACAATGATCGGTATTTATTTATATGGGTACTAATATAGGTAATAACTAATGTACTTTTGAAACTTAAAATGAGATAGATAAATGTTTTATATTTAAGAGCTGTAGCAGAAAGGCTGACTTATAATTTTAAGCAGGGAATGTGTGTGGTTCTGACTAACATTTTTGTTATTTACATATTTTGTTTATGTAAATTTCTTTATGTTATGTAATCATTTTATTGAGAAGAACTCCAATCTGGGTCAAAACGTATAGTAAAGAGTTAATAAATTAGATGACAAATATATTTAATTATATTGCATATTAATATCTTGTTGCGTGGCTCTAAAGGTTTATTTTGATTTATGATCGATATCGTGAGAGCTTACATATAATATATATTATTAAAATATTTGAAGGGCCATGGAAAGTATATGTAAGTATAGGTAGGTATATGTATTGTAAAATTCTAAGAGTTGTTTGATTAATTATATAAATAGTTGTATTTAAATCTACATTTCAGTGTACACTTGAAAAATGTATATTTCGAATGTAATTGTCAATTGTTAAAATTCTACGTAGCTAAGAACAAAAAGATCTGCACAAGTCAAATTCATACAATAAAAATATTAACGCTTTTAAAATTATATTTAA